TATATATATATTAGGTGTGCATTAATACTCTTGAGTGACAACACTAGAAAGTCACAATGTGGTGGTATATACGATTGTCGTGAAACTTTCAAGTTCATTGTCAAGAATAGAAGAACCTTACTCCATAAATTTATTTTTCAAAAGGCAATGGATTGTAGCTAACTAACTTTTTAAGGTATTCAACGGTTTGAGGATGATACAAGTTGGAAAGCTATTGCTGATGAGGAAATTAGTAAAGATCCTTCAAAAAGATCAACTTGGGTGTTTAGGGATTGAGATATAACATTATTATTGTATGAAGGTGATTTTATGAGTCTTAGGCTATTTATTATTTATTTATTTGATATGAGTAGTATATGATCTCGGTATTTTAAATTTATTAATCATTGGTATATTCAGTGAAGTACTTGTGTTCTTTACGTTGGTTTATATATATATAACAATGAGATTTGATTTTTTTTTTTTTAATTGCATGTTGTATTCAATGACTTCAATGTATTTATTGTTATTGATGTATGAGACATTTTATTGTTATACTATTGATGAAATATATGACTTGTAAATAGATTATTAATGATTTTTAATTGACATAAATTAATACAGTTATTAGTAAGGATGTTTGATGTATATAAAATAATAGAAAATTATTTTTATTCAAGCAAAAATAATTGAAGAAGCTTCTAATTAAATGAACGACTTTAAAATTTTATAAAAAAAATGTTTCTAACTTTGAAAATTATGAAATATGAGAGTTTCTTTAATTAAATCTGAATTGAATTTATTAATGATGTGTAATGAATGTTTGCGTGTACATTCTAGATTAGGGTGTCACATTTATAGTTTTATATCTAGGAATTAAAACTACATTAACAATCTGACAAAAAAAATGTAAATATCAATCATAATCTACTTAATTAATAACTTATAATATTAATAAATATTTTATAATTTATTAAATAAATTTATTTTATTCTAAAATATATTTATTTTTTATTGTATTGTCTTGATCTCACTCATGTCTCATTTGTTACTCACCTTAAAAAAATTAGGACTAAAATATAATTGTTAGTTGTTAGATTAAAAAAATTAAGAACTTCAATTGATTGGTCCCCGTAAGAATGGTTAGTGATTTTCTAAATTTTTTTATCACAATAAACTTTATTTTGATTTTCTAAATTGAAAGCCTAAAAATATACTTTTATCATTATTCACAAAATTTAGTCATTTAAATTTACGTAAACAAATTCTAAATAGTCATTTTTCTGATTAACATCATACTAAAATTGAGTGAGTATTTCGTTTAAATCTCTTGGATTTCGATAATCATTGTTTATTTTTAATTACCACTTACAACAATCAATATCGTTGAGTGATTCCTGCTCCAAGTCATTGTTGATGTAACCTCATCCCCAACTTATGAATTTAGTTTTCACTGTTCCTGACAACAACAAATAGGAAAAATAAAATAAAAATATTTATCTTCACAATTAGTAATAAAAAAGAATGAGTTCATGAAAAACAGATACATAATATTCTAAACTTCTCTCCTTAAACACAAACAGAGCATACCAAAAGTAGAGAGAGTTTAAAAAAGGAAGGGAATTAGTATGTATTCCTGAATGAATTTTATGTAATCATAAGTTAACGTAATTTTCGTTTGAACAAAGCACATATGGACTTGACTTATAAATTGATTTGAGTATATAATTGTAAATTTAGATAGATAAAATTTTAAAGTTAATTTTATTTAATGAAAAAGTTACTAATTAGTGACAGATCAAAAATTTTAAATTAATAAAAATAATTATTTTTAAAAATTAAAATTAATAATGATCATCATCATATATAAAAAAATAAAATATAAATATAAAAAATAATCATCAATAAGTTCAGTATATAAAATTAAAAAAATACAAAATATGATATCTTTAAATATACATTAATAATTTAATTAAAGTGATGGAATACATTTCTCTATTCTTATTATATATAACTAATGGGAATGAGATATTTCGTACCTCTATTAAAAATAAATAAAAATAAAAATTAAATAATAACAATATATTAATCTAATTGATATTATGATTAATCTATTAATTTCAAGTTTTTAAATTTGATTAAAAGATATTTTTTTTTTAATTTTTTAAAATAAAAAGATATAATAATTTAATAAAGTAAAAACTAAGGTAGTTACTCAAGAGGGTATTCCTTTTATATATTAACTAGAGGAATAGAGGCACTTCGTGTCTCTAATAGTTATTCACTAATAAAATATTAGAAAGTTGTGTATAATTATTTAAAAAAAATTAAGATTTTTTTATATTTGAGGATATAATGGTCCATTAAAAATGGAGACCAAAAAGCGGTTACATCTTCTATATCTCCTTTATAATAGTTATAGTATAATAGTTATAGATATAGATACAGATCTAGCATTGCTACGGATAATAGTTTTCAAGTAGATGTGAATTTGAGACATCTTAAAATCAATTTCAAGAATAATTAAACATGCAAGAAAAATAATTCTGGTTATACTAATAGATACTCACCATGAAGAAGAGGGTGGCAAAATGAGTTGAATGGAGCCACCGCACAGCAGAGGAATGAACAACAAAAGCGTAAAAAAGGAGCATGAAATTCGTAACTGCTGACCAGACACTGATCACGTCTACATAGGTGGCTCCGACATCCTCCATGGCGTACAAAATTATGTTCCCTGTTACCCCCAAAACTCATCCATATTCTTTTCTCAAATGTCTTCTTCGTTGCCATATCCGAGGGATGGAGGGGGAAGAAGGTGTGAGTGAAGAAAGAAGGTACATTGAGCCCAGATGCTAAAAGTCATAAACCTTATATATTTCCCACATTTTAATTATTTTGATTCATAACTCGAGGAACACGAGGTCAACATTTTTAAATCAACGGATAAACTTCTCCTTCATACGCGTTGTGATGTG